TGGTAGAGGTAAATGTGCGCAAACCATGTGTATGATTTAATGTACAACTATTATACTCAAACGGTTAGTAGTTTTGTGCGCAAAATAGGACCTCCCAAAATTTCATTGCACTAACTTTTGTTAATCGCTGTTCTATAATAATTTAATAGTTTAGCCATTTAATCTTGGTTCTGCTATCTGCGTATGTACGTCTATTCGTAATTCGTGTCAATTAACGCCTTTGTGTACTGTTTTAACATTAAACGGCCGAAAGATAAACAGTATTTCAACAGTCAATTAAAAAGTAAACTATCAGAATTTGGTATCGATGTGTTCTCGACTGACGGTTAACTCCTATACTGTAAGACTTTGAGATTGCGTCTCCCCTTCGAAAAAAAAAAAAATAGGTACTTGTAAATAATAACTATTTAAAAATAAAAATGTATAGAAATATTTTTATTTGAATTGAAAATATGTTATATCGTCATCTTTGTTTATTATTATAAATTGAAGTTGATAAAATCTAAAACCTATAGTTATTTCGATGACGGTCGCCGTTTCAATGAAAATGACGCCCGAAACATGTTGGCTGGGATCACACGAGCGTACAAAATGCGTCAATGCATACGTACTTTATGACATATGTCGTAGAAGTACATTATAGCTTACAGGAACGAGCAACGAGCACTAAAAATAACACACGTTCATATGGACGTTGATTTCTTATCGACGTATTTTTTCTGAAACGCACGTCGAAAATTATCGACGCGTGTTTAGAATTATATTTGTTCAAATATAATTGGAGTCACGTGCGCACAAAGTACGGGCGTATTGAAGTGAACAAAAATACAATCTGAAATTACTTACAAAACGTCTATACAGAAATTAACACGTTAGAGATTTTTTTCAATTTCTTTTCAAAATGTCAAGCATAGACAACGATATGTTAATTAGTGAGATCCAAAAATATGAAGTTTTGTGGAATAAAGTTGATGAAGACTACCACGATAAAATAAAAAAGAATGGGACATGGATTAAAATGGTATCATATATTTAATAAATTCATTCAAAGATGAAATCCATCGTTAAAAGTAAAAATCAGGGCCGGCTCGAGGAGTAGGTAACATAGGCGCACGCCTAGGGCAGCATTTGAAAATAGTATATTATAGATAATTTTTAAAATATTGTGTGTAGTAAAATAAGAATAAATAAATATTTGTGTAATAATATTAATAAATCAAATAACGTCACATAGAAATTGTAGAACGGGTCAGATAATGTTATAATAACTGATACGTTCTTAAAGTATATGCATGTCCGGCGAAAGGCACAGGTAATACAGGGCTATGCTTGGGCCAGCATTTTCTTAGTGGTAGGCAGGGCCGTATGAAGGATAATTTGTTGCTACTTAAGCTTACGCAAAAACCGGAAATTATTTTTGAAACATGAATGAGCAAAAAAGAAATGATTTAATATTTATATATATAACCGGCAATATGGATAATCCGGTATTTTACAAAATGTCTAGGCATTATAGTAAATACCAAAAATCACACGGAAATATACATAATACGAACTTTGCCTAGACATTATGTATAATGTCAAACAAGGAGTGAAAATATGATGAATATAAATAAAATTGGGCATCACCTATTACTAACGACTTTACTTATCATTTATCATAGATGTAGTAAGCCCAAGGCTAAGCAGATTTAATAATCAATAATCAATATAATTTAGTATAGATATTTATAACTAAACCTACGTGCAGGAAATCCAGAGTAAAGGTGAAAACATCAAGTAGTTTTCACGTCTTAATATAATAATGCTAAATAGACAGTAAAATAAAGTAATACTAGAAATAGGCCACTTTTACGTCTTTGGAACCCGTATAAACACGGGTTGAGCATTTAACATTATTCAGATTTAGATGGGTAATTTTAATAAACAGTGTTTTACTGGTCATTTCCCGTATTAATAAATTATTGCTCGTCGTGGATTTTGTTACAGCCACATCGCCGTGAGTATATAATTCTTAGCCCAGAATAACTTGTTATTTTAATTTTTGTGTTTTTAACTGTTGGTTAATTTATTGTGATAAATTAATAAAAACAGTAAGTTTATAAGTTTAATATACCAGTGTTTAATTATTCACCTACCTATCTCTCTCAACCCAACGTCTCAAGATAACATACAACGTACTACGTCGTTAAATAATTAATGTGGAACCGATCGTAGTGTCCTGCACAACGATCACTACATAAATGTGCATGCACGATTTAACGCAATAAAGATTAATATTCTTTTACTACTATAATAATAATTCTAAGGTACAATATTGAACGTACTAATAATTTTATTACAATATCGTCATTTTTCTCGTCATTTTCGTGTCTCGTTATATTGTTGCAACTATGGATACGATTTATATGAAGTCAGATTTTTATAACTACAAATTTTTTTTAAACATTTGGCCACTAATACTATTTAATAGTTTTTATTTGATGAACAGTATAATGAGTTGATAAAAATTAAATCCACATTAATTGGCCAAGGATTTTTAAAATGTGTTTGTAAGTCCAAGTGTCAAAATAAAAAGTGTATTTGCCTTAAAAATAACATTTTGTGCGCTTCAAAATGTCACTTTTCTACAACATGCTATAATAAGTAAATAGTATATTTATATAATAGTAATAAAATAATAATAGATGAAAATGTAATTTTGTCTGTAATATGAGTAATAATGTATACCTAATAATTATATAAATCTGAATGTAATATAACATGTAATAAAATGTTTTGTACATGGCCTTAAAAAAAAATTGGCAATTTATAAAAAGCCTAGGTTATTTGTAAAATAATATTGAAAATCATATTTAATCTACGTTGCCTAAAATGGGTCGGCAATTTGCATAATACCTAGGCGTTTTGCAAAATACTTGAATTATCCATATTGCCGGTAACATACACATAAATATATTTTTTTTTAAATAATAAAAATAATAACTGATATGTATCTGGCAATTAACTAATTAACTAATTAACTAATGAACTTCTTTTTTAATAATAAATGTAAATTTCACTTTGTTCCTATGTATTTATGTATTGATCAGTATGCTGTATTTATTGGCAACTCACATAGTCAACCATAGTGAAGTTCGCTTTAATTTAATTTAAAATCAATAAAAGTTGTTTCTCTCTAGTTTTGATTAGGACGTACAAGTCGTACAATAATTTATATAATAAACCAAAATTAAATGAAGATAACGTATATTAACATTTGATTTTTCTTCGAAATGACGTTCGTCGAAAGTCGATAATGATTAAAATGAATATTTTGAAAATGATTATTTTGATTATCAAAATTAAACCGAAGATAACGTATATTAACATTTGATTTTTCTTCGAAATGTCGAAAGTCGATAATGATCATACACTATAACATTATTTATTATATAAATTATTTATTTTTGGCGCAGCGACTCGGGCTATACGTTGATGATACTGGAAGAGCCAACGCGTTTTTAATTTACGGGCCGTAAAGGGCGGCAGATTTTTATTTCGTCTATGTATACATTTTGTTTAGAGCCGGCCTGACCGGTCCTGGTAAAAATTAATCGTGTCATTTGATTAATTTTTACTTTTGACGAACCATTTACCACTGGTATAATATAATAAATGAACAAAAAAAATAGCAATGCCAATTATTTTTAACGGACGTCATATCAACGCTTGTGTGCTCGCTTTTACACATGCGTTAAAAAGTACGTCCATCGTGCCGTGCACATTTTGTACGTCCGTGTGACACCAACCGTAATGTTTGGGTTTGTTGGGCGGATATCTCATTGTAATATATTTAATAAATTTTTTTAATTTCAACTATAGGGGCGGCTCGTCAGGGGAGACTTTAAGACTGCGTCTCCACTTAAAAAAAAAAAAAACAACTACTTGTAAATAATAACTATTTAAAAATGTATAAAAATATTTTTATTTTTATTGAAAATACTGGTATGTAATAGCGTTTTCTACATTTATTATTATAAATTTAAGGCTACAAAGTATGAAACCTATAAATAGTTATTTCGATGGAAACACTATTTTAATAATTTCAACGACGGTCGCCGTTTCAGCGAAACTGACGTTGGACAGGTTGAATCGTAACATGTAATGGTTGGCTTGTTGGACGGAGGGGGTCGGGGAGAATAAGCCGCGTTTTATGAACAATATTCAAATTGGGTTCACGACAATAATTAATCAACAGTATCTTTTATGTTTATTATTAATAAACAATAATAGTCTACGTTTATCTGCGGGTTCACAGATAAAAAAAGATTGAATTAGTTATGTATAATTATTATTTTTGTTAGTAATATTGACAAACATCATAATATGAGATGTCATGATGTGGTTTTAATTTTTCATCTTGCATATTTTTTTTTTCATTTATTTAGTAAAAGAAATATTATTACATATTTTAACAAAAAAAAAAAAAAACCCGTTAAAAATTTAAGTTGCACGGTATTTTAAAGGTATATTAAAAATTATAAATTAATAGATTATGCTATTATGATACATAGATTATTAATTCTAGTTACGATCAGAATTAAAGTAGAATAATAATTCACGGAATATGTAATATATTTCTCGTAGTATTAAATTGGATTTATTTTTCTTTTGTATATTTATTAATGTTTTCGTTTATTGTTCTATAGTAAGTATTCACATTTGAAAGAATATTTTGACGTGTATTGGTATATTTTTATTAGGTATCTAGAATTTTCATATGAAGATAATATTGGTTAGGAGGCCGATTTTATTTATTGCACCGGGGTCCTTCCTAACTATAACTACACCAATGTATATTGGAGGCTATTAATGTTCGTTTAACATGCCAAAACAAAACTATTAAGGATTCGACGACTTCATTAGGACCGACGCGGTCAACACAATGATAATAATATTTCTATGTAGTACCGCAAAACGTTGACCTGGAGATAATGTGTAAACGACGTCCGTGAAATCCGTACAAAATAACGTCGTTGGCTCTCGGACTGGTCATTTCCAACCATGAAGTCTGACGGGCCAGTTCTGACCTTTTGTGTGTTCGTTTGTGTCATCGCCGTCGCTGTACCCCTGGTGACCGGGTCGACCTATTTCGGTGGCACCACCGGTGTTGTCCAAGGACCGGGCTTTCGAAGGGATCCGCTGATGGCCATGTACAAAGGTAATCGTTGTTGTGTATGTCACACATTGTACGAGTGTACGAAAACGTGAATTTATTTTTATTTTTTCATGCTTACCGATATGGCTGTATAAATGGGTTTCGTTTTCTTGCATTCGTACCAGCAAGCAAAAAGGAAAATAATATTTAGATTCAAACATTCAATTTTAATTTATAAGAAACATTGAAATTTTATCGCTTCTATTGAATGTATTTTGTAGAAAATTAATTGTTGTTTTATTATTTTTTTAAGAGTATTATGGTAAATAGATAATTCAACATTTCGAATTATTATATTCAGAATATACAAACAGAATATACCTAAACAATACAATATAGAATTCAAATAAGCTAAAATCGGGCTTTCGGTACTACGTGCATTTTTCTTCTGTCTTTTGGACTTTCATAACTAAGCTGAAGTTGAAACTTTCTTGTAAATATTGTAGTCATCTACTGTCGTAATAATAATAATAATAATATTAATACTGTTTATTTTTCAACGATTAACTAATAATACAGTATAGAAATAAATAATATGACAATATTGAAACTCCTCGTATGATCTAAGCTTGTTCGTGGATCAGTGCTAACCCTATGGTGAAGAGGGGGTGAATGTATCACGAATATCACTTAATCTAAAAATAATCTTATAATATTGTTGCTGGAAAAAGGGTTCTTTTGTTATTGTCAACGAAAATTATGAGACTGTAACATATACCTTAGAGTTTATAAAGTTATATAAAAATAAATATATATGGGGCTTTTCAAGATTCTGCAACTGAACGGTCACTGGCGAGGGGACCGATATTTTTTCAATGAGTATGCATTATTTTGTTTAAATTTTAAATTGCAGCGATCTACTGTCGTAATAAACAATGTCCCAATTGGAGGTGTCAAGACGATTCGGCCATGATTCACGGACACTGTTGCGGATGTCACAACAGTTTTGAAGGTAAAATAAAACTTAACTTTAATAATATAATATGTATTTGAATCACAGTTTTTTAAATTTTTTTTATTTCAAACGCTATATGTGTAATCCGAGAAGTTTACCGTCAGACCGAGCTTTTTTGCCACGTAATTTCGGTAGGAAATGCCATATTTTTAATTCTGCCACGTTTTGCTAACGTTTTTAAATTCGTTGGATTTTGGCGAAATTAAATCACGAGTTCGCTCAACAGTCTTTTCGGAATTGTAAAATGGAAAGGGATTCGATTTTTTTTTTTTTTTAGTAGTTCTCGCTCAATCAAACATCAAACATGAATAGTATATACTGTGGATGATGTTTTAAAAATACTAACATATTTAAAACATAATTTAATGATGTTTGATTGGAATCCCATTGAAATGCACAAATTACATCTCTGCAACGGCACAATCGTTCGATTGTCTTGAAAATAAAATTAATATCTATCCGCAACGTATTCAACGTATTAAAAATTTTTTTACCAAGACGTAGTCTATTTCTAAATGTTATATTTTCCGTCCTCTGTTGTTGAATATTACACGAAATTTAATATAATAGTAAAATATTGAAACTGATTTATAAATAAATTTCGCCATCTGTTTTCTCAATAAACTGACATAATATTGTGTTTCATAATTTTTTTTTTTTTACAGTTAACGTGCCGGTATTATGCGTTGAAGATTTAAAATGTCCACTTAAAATGAAGAACTTATGCGATGACTATCATTTTATGATTACATGTTGTTGTTCTTGAACCTATATTGTAGATTAATGATATTCCTTATTAAATCATATTCACCGAAAACACTATTATTCACCAATTTATATTTATCGTAAACGTTTTGTATTACTTATTGTAGACTGCTTTATTATTATTAATAAGTCATATATATATATGTGTTTATGTTACGGGTAGAGTAAGAAAATCGGGTAATGTACACATCATCCGGGTAATGTGAACATTACCCATGCCCATTAGATAAAGTAAACATATTTGTAAAACATTTATTTTGTAGGTACATCAACCGGGTAATTTTTACATTATCTTTCTTTGAGTGGATAGTTTTCATAAAATAAAATACGACAAATATGAACTGTAGATAATATTAATAAAATACGATAAAATATAATTTGTACCTACATGATGTTAAATCGTGTGCATTGATATTGTATAATAATTTTAAGCTACATACGGTGCTATTGGTTTTCAAGTTAATTTGTTCGGTTTATTAATGTTTGATCATTTAGTTTTTTAAAAAAAAACCTTGTCGTCATAAAAATAGAAATTATACGAAAATTATAATAAATAAATTAATGAAAAGAATGGAAATTCTGTAAATTTAAAGGAATCAAAATATTATAACATATTATCTGAAATAAGAAACGTGAATAAAAACAAATAAATCATAATGAAACTTTTATAAATATTTTATAAGTGTCGGTTACAAAAAAATCTTTTCGTGAAATAGCTAATGCACGATTTTTTTCGATGGTCAAAGTTTTAAAAAATGTTTGCGTGAAAATAATCATTTAACAAATAAATGTACGATTAAATGTAAATCTGGAGAGATATTTTGCAACTCAAAATGCCTCAAAGTGTTCCAATAAATAGCTTTATTTAATTTTTTAACATTTTTTATTATAAAATAATAACATAAATAATACATAGTTTAGGTACTTAATAATTTTTTTTTCGAATTAAACTTATAGCACACTGGATAATGTACATATTATACTATCCATATAAATAAGGTGTACTTTATCCGGGTATTGTGTAAACTACCCATTTTTGAACTTTACCCGTAACATATACACAAAAATATAAAAAACATTCAGTAAAAATGATGATCCGATCCTAATGTGATGTATTACTATTAATATTATATACTTTAAAAACACTTAAACATAATAATATATTATTATTAGTATATAAACTATTTTAATCAAAATTACCATTATAATCATTGTGTAATACATTACACATAGTATTTATACATTAGTATTTAGGGAAAATTTAAAAAGATCAGTGCCGTAACTAGACCACTCTCGAGTTAGCCTCGACCCGTTTAAGAATCAAAACCTTGAGGTCCCTAATCATCAAACGTGTGTTTGAGCATTTGACCTTTTGAGGCCTCGTAATATATAGTTCGGTGCTCGGTACTTGTGTGCAATGCACCCTCTGCACACCCAGTTTTTACGGAACTGAAGGAGATCAAGTATTACACTGAATTTTTTAAAAGCGTTTTCCTATTCACAAATATATATATTTTCAAATTCCATATCGTGTAGCATGATTGACTTGTAAAAATTTATATAAAACACTATAATTTTCGAACTGTACTTTATGCGCTCTATACTGTTTATAAGAAAATATAAATGATAAACAGAGTTTAATACATGTCACAATTTAAAATATTTATTTTGAATTCTTCGAAAATCATAGAATGATTTATTACTTAGGTCTTTTGATAAAAATTTTTATTTAATCGAAAGTGAAAAGCGTTAAATTATTATATAATTATATGAATATTTAAGACAATTCAGTCTACATTAGATATTAAACTGTAAAACGAATAAAAAATAAACAATCTACATAGTTTTATAAGAAATTTATTTTCATTGATAAACTATAAATTCAGTAATTATTTTATAATGTATTTTTTCAATGAAGTTCTAATCTCCTAATTAACACGGAATATAATACTATGATAATACTGTACTGTACGTTTAAAAAATAAACACTTTTAATCTAAAAGGTGAGTAAAAATTATTTAAGACGAAAAAAAAACGAACTTGTGCACGTATTATCTTATTATCGCATGCAACTAGAATTATAATAATATGGAGTTCTTAAATTTATCTCGGAAGATAAAAACGACGATAAGCAACATAAGCTACTCGACGTAGTGTCTATAATAGCTTACCATTTTCGCTTAAAGGTCCATGAAATCACAGAATTAAATTGTTAAAACGTTTTGGAAAATTAATAGGAGTTTTTCGGAGGATTATAGTTGAATAATAATAGTAGAATTATAGTTGTTAAATGAAGATTTATAGGACGCGATACTCAAAAGTGTAATCCATGTGAAATGCTCCATTGATCGAGAATGATACATTGCAGTAAATTACAAAATGGCGGTACGCATGCGTACAAGTGGATCTACAACAAACCAAATTTGAATACAAATTATTAATTATTATAATTTCCTTGCGAGTTTTAGGAAAGAAAATTGCAGGATAACTTCGGAGCTCTTAAACAGAACAAATTAAATGTGATGCAAGAGTTAAAACCTATTAGGATCTTAAAGAAAAGACGAGCAATCGGTTACAGTGGAGAATTGAAGTCGATAAAATAAAAAATGTTTAGGAAGAATAATTGTAATGCGTAACACAAAACCGTTCAGTGAACATTCATAGTAGAACCTCCTTTTTTTGTTTTAAAGAAGATAACGTTATCTACGATGTAATATTATTATTTTTTTAATAACTTATTTTAATATTTTTTTATTATTATGAGCAAACAAAAAAACCTAAATATTTTACAAACGATAACGTTTAATTAGTAGATTTGAATATTCGTCAGGAAAAAAATGTGTGGATTGCAACATTAAAACATTTAAAATATTAGAATCGCGTGAAACGTTTGATAACCGGGTAAAGCTTTGTCAACATTCCTACAGTCCCAGGTGCGTGTCGTTCGCATTGGATTTGTCCGATATGCGCGAACATTAAAAATAAACTCAAGGTGTCCAGAGGAATTATCGACGTAGCACTATAATGACGAATCCAATGGCACGTGCACCGGACAACCTCGACGGTTTTAATCGAATGGACTATTTTACACATTAGGTTAGGTACGTGGTTCCGGTCGAATAGTGCACCAACAATAATATCGATTTTGATTAACGGTTTTTTTTTTTTTCTTTAATGCGTTCGTCGAATTCGTGCGGACGGTCCGGAGTTTCTCGTGGAATGTTCGGAAAACAAAAAATAAAAAACCCATAGGAACACGAGTCATCCGCTCGTGACGCTCAATCTCCCTTCCGCCCACTGCACGGCCCAGTATCGTGGGCGGTAATATTCGATCGGAATTCGCGAATTCCCCACGTCCATGTTCGTTCGCCGTGCGCGACCGTCACGGTATCGACCAACGTTTACCTAATAAATACCCGACGACCGGGGTGACCGCGGTTCGTTCATTTCCGACCATGAAGTCCGACCGAGTGCTTGTGACGTTTAGCGCGTTCTCTATCCTGTCCGTGGCGACTGCCTTGTATCAACATAACGTTAGTAGCACTTACGTGAAAGCAGCGGACGACCTGAACGGCGACCGCGACGTGATTATCAAATTCCTCTACACAGGTAACGTATAGACAACAGTCGTTATAAAAGCGACTCGATCAAACGGCGCTAAAGGCATTCGTAACCGGATCGGCTGAGAAACGGTCACGCGAACGTATAAAATCAACATTTCAAGACCATAGTGGAAATGGCAATTTTCTCTCTGTCTGTCCGTTATGCACGCGTAGTAACACAGATTCAAATGACCTTTTTTTTGTTTCCAACGTGGGAACTGATCGAACTATTATTGATGCGATAAAGATTTCGAAAACTGATTTGAATAATTCGTCATTAAGTCATAGTTTCTTACGTACAGAACTCTATCCGAGTAGGCAACGCTGGAAATCAATTCTGGAGTAGTCTTAATGACTAGTTCAAATCAGCTTTTAATATATGTAACATCGTTTGATCAACGGTACGTTGGAAATAGAATACATCATCTGTATTTATATAATACTGATAAATAATGTATTAAGTTACACGTGCAAGAGTCAGCAGAGACTGAAGATTACCGCTTCCTGTGCAATTATTCCAATCGCTGTGGATTTCATGAGAACATTTTTTTAATATTTGTCTTGGAATGCGGGGGATAATATTATAATTATACCGGAGAAACAAATATTTTAACTCAGATTTTATTTATTTATTTATTTACAGCTTTGTATTGCGATGGTCGTCAGTGTCCGAGTTGGTCGTGTCAAGACGATTCGGCCGTAATACATGGCCACTGTTGCGGATGTCCAAATCCGTTAAAAGGTAAACACCCGAGTTATGTGGCGTAATTGTGGGGGAGGGGCGAGTGCCCCCCTAGATAATCCAACAGTACAAATAGCACCTTTTATTAATGAACTCTTATGGGTATTATTTAACAATATTGGTACCTAGTACCTGCTAGTTACAATCTATGTTAATCTAAACCACAAAATGAGTTAAAAGACTTATGTAAAATCAAACAATTAGATATACTGTATAAAATACATACAATAAAAATATATTTTAACTGGTGAGGGGGAGGGGTGTCTGGGTTTTGGTAATAATAAATATATGATATTGCCCCCCCCCTAGATTTTTTCCCAGTTACGCTACTGGAGTACGGAATATATTATATTATTACAACAGCGCGCTTGTGTAAACTAGTGTTCTTGATACCCGGATACCCGGGTTTTATGGGTATTACCCGATTTACAACATTTCGGGTACCCGTTATGGATTGGGTACCTGTTATGAATCGGGTACCCTCTATGGTTTGTATACTCATTACTAGAGCTGGGATTAGTATGCAAATACATATTTTTTCTAAAACATGATAAAGCTCGATTCACACTAGCGGTCTCGGTTCGGTCCGATCACGGTCAAGTCAACATCGATAGTACGTAATCCAACGGCATCGTATACACTATCGATCACGGTCAAGTCACGGTCAGGTCCGGTCAAGTCTTGACCGGTCGATGCACGATCCAGACCGCCGCGGTCACGAGCTTTTTGATTGAGACCGCCTAGTGTGAATAATCAACCGCCGCGCTAATCTCGGTCATATCCATTGTTTTGATTGTTTTTTTGAACACTTTTGTACACTTTGTGGCAACGTATAGATAGAACTTGACTGGTTGTGATCGGTAGTGAGAACTGTAAAGCTCGATTCACACTAGCGGTCTCGGTTCGGTCCGGTCACGGTCAAGTCATGGTCAAGGATTATGATGTACAGTTCTCACTACCGATCACAATCAGTCAAGTTCTATCTATACGTTGCCACAAAGTGTACAAAAGTGTTCAAAAAACAATCAAAACAATGGATATGACCGAGAGAAGCGCGGCGGCTGACTATTCACACTAGGCGGTCTCGATCAAAAAGCTCTTTACTGCGGCGATCTGGATCGTGCATCGACCGGTCGAGACTTGACCGGACCTGACTGTGATCGATAGTGTGTACGATGTCGTTGGATTACGTACTATCGATGTTGACTTGACCGTGATCGGACCGAACCGAGACCGCTAGTGTGAATCGAGCTTAAATTTCATTATCTTTTTTTTTCGTTGCACAGATAAATAACTGCTATAAATAGATATTATTTTATACAACTTTACAACAATTTACTGTTTACTTTTACATTACAGTAAATTAGTATCTATATGAATACATATAAAAACACCATACTAAACAAAACTTTTCAAACACCTATCAATATAATTATTCAATTATTATAATTTTTGTATAGTTGTATATTTTAAGTTCAAAACGTAACAATGTAACTGTGAATATATTACACGTCATCAATAATATCACAATTTTCTTTTCTTTTTTTTTGCCTTAGGGGTGGGTTTGAATGCTTTCTCCCTCCCCTCCGTATGTACGCCCCTGACTGTGATTACTTATTATTATCTGCGTAGCTATACACATAAAAGGTAACGAATACGGCCACTATATTCGTTATCTGCAAGATTTAAATATAGGCTTTATAATAGCTTTTAACATGTTATTCGACATTATACTTGAACAAACTAATTATTGAAATATAATATCACTAATAACACTTCCATAAAATATTAAAAATTTATTTTTAAAACGTAATATTGTTAATTTAAAAGAGGAAATAATTTAATATTTCTTATTTGAATAATTGTGTAATGTATAATTTAAGACTGATTACCTCTTAGCAGTTAAGATTTAGCTAAACCGTTTACGGATATCAAAAACCATCGGGTACCCGAACGTTTTGGGTAATGGGTACCCACTACTCGAAAACGTTGATTACCCACAAAATCGGGTATTACCCGGATAAACAGGTATCCGGGTATTACTCAAATCAAATCAAGAGCACTAGTGTAGAGTATTTTAAAATTATCAAATATCTTTGAATAAATATGATTTTGATAATCAAAACAACCGTTCTGGTCGAAATCGCGTACTCAAACAAAATAAAATAGTACATAACAAAATAATTTACGATTAGTAGTGATGAAGGTTCGGATTTCGGTTGAAATTTCCAAGTATTTTACAATTTATTTTATGGTTTTCTCAATAATTTGCAAAACTTATAACGCTACGGAATGATATTATGTGATTAGTGTATATTATTATTATACGAGTATTATAATTATTATCGGTGAATTTTGTATTATGGTTCGTGTTGCATCCCCAGTCACGACTCGTTATCATTCCAATTAAAATTAAAATTATAATAAGTCAGCCACAAAACGAGTCATGACTGACTGCGTGCCTAGAGTTATAAGTGTTAGTGTTCGTTTGCACAAAATACAATTTCTGTGTTATACCATTTTTTTTCTATCAAAAATTATTATTATTTTCATTATGCGAAAAAAAAATTTAAATATGGCGCCGGTTGAGCCAGCCCCAACTTCTATGGCCCTCCTGGGCTGGTTAGATGTATGAGCCATTTTTTTTTTTTTTTGATTTGTTATATTATGATTATTATACGTTACATCGATACGTTTTGATGTTAAAAAATAACAAAATCCAGCTGTGGTTCGGCCGTTCGTTTTCGCCTTGGGCGAGTAGCATGGGCAGTAAAAGAGAAACCCGGAGTGCAACCTTACAAACTAATGAGAAATTCAAAAATTTACCACCAAAAGTACCAATTAAACATAATTTTTCTATATTTTACTTAACATTTAGTGATGATCGGAGCTCTCATTTTGGTTGTGTACACGGATACAATAAAAAAAAAAACACATCATGGATAGCCACTTAACGTAATTAAATCAATACGTTCTACGTTTCCCTCAGAATCTAAAAATTATTTTTAACTTAAAAATATACGAAAACGGAAAAATGATGTAATAATTGTAATGTAATTCTAATTATCAGTTACAATCCGAAAATCGAATTTCGGCTCGAATTATTAACGCAACGTATAGTACAGTTCAATAATTTAAATTGCAGCACTGCGTTCCGTCCGGGCGCGCTTAGTAATGAAATCGATTTTCAACTGCAGCTTCGATGTGATATCTTTAATAAAATCGCACGCGATGATTCACGTTAAGTCAATCTTGAAAAATCATATTTCAAATATTGAGGAAACGTAAAACGGATACCCCGTAGCGTCGTGATGTCCTCTACAAAGTACACATATTTAATGAAGTATAACTTGCGTTCGAATGAAACTTTTTCGTATCTGACTCGTTGATTGAATTCAGAAATATAAATTTTATCATGAAAAAAATGCAATATTACTCAGTAAATACCAAAATTAGGATAAACGATGAAACCACAATGAGTAAACATAGAATGTTTATTCGTGCCGGAAGAACGAAGTTTAACATTAAAAATTTAGTTAAAAAACATAATAATAGATGGCGTAACCGATAAAATAAGAAATATCTACTAGTCCTCTGGAGAGTACACTATAACTAAATAGTTACATCATAACGTTTTCCATAAAGCTAGTGAAATTCAAGTGTCCTCTACAGAGGCCGGGGTGATAGAAAGGGTTGATAAAAAACGTTTATCAACCAATATTACCACCGTGAGCCGTGGTAATAAAATATTTTAAAATATTTCACGGGCCGCAAGTCGAAATGAACGGAACGGAAAAGAACTAAAAATAAATTTATATACTATGTATATTATTGTATAACATTTGAAAATCTATTATAAAAAAGATTAAATATTTATTTTAATTATAGTGGATTTTTATATTGAGATCGTTTTTTTCGCTATTTTGGATATATCTGGTTTGTAGTTGCTGCATGCTACTCTTAACAAGTCGTCAAGCTGTGAATCAATAAGCCGATTTCTGTACACATTATTTGCATATTTAATTTTTGAATTTGCAACACGCTTTGATTGTTTTGTTATGTATATTTTATATTTATAATATAAGTTTTGAAATTTATATTTTATTATATATAAATCATTGGAGGGCCGCATGCGGCCCGCTTGCCGTAGGTTGAGTATTGCTGTTCTATACTATACGCATGCTGTACGAATAATCATAATATTCATGGTTAGTAAAAATAACTTGGTGATTATATTTTTCCAATATTCCTATACATGCATTTACCGTTAGCCGGTTGTTTCGAAGAGGTTGAACATAATACGGTTATTTATTATTGTGATAATATTGAATATTTTGGTGAGGAAGGGTAGGTTCTCAGAGTAGTCAAGTGCCTACCCTGGCTGTGGGTATACTATGGAGTGTGCCCACGCTTATGTTCCATGAGTTATTCAACCCTAGTGTATTGTGTGTCTTCGTTCTACTCATCGTAGTAATTGTCCATCGTCGTGTCCATTTGTGATCGTTGTTGTTTCAGTTGACACATAAGACCGCCAGCCAACAGTGTGGTGTGTGAGAAGCCACCTAGGTCGTCTAGTTGCAGTTACCAGCAGTTACGAGCTTTTTTCTAATCATCACGTTGTTGATAAGGTTTAAGTTTAAGTATAATTTTTCTGATTCATGTGTGAGCTCTACGCGTCATTACACCAAATCGATCCCTCCCCCGATAATTAAATTCTACGTCCTATGCATTCCCACGTACAATTAACTTATTTCTGTTCCTTTTCCATCTTCGTTTGTGTCACACGTCACTTAAGTTGCCTAACTGACAACTCCAAGGCGAAACATTACTTATAATTATTACATATACATTATAATTGCGCCATTATCAATGGGACCGGTCATTCGATCTATATACAGTTGCTATTATCATTAAAATTGTTGTGTTGTGTACTTGTGTTTTTCTTTAAGTAGTGAATAATTTTACGAACAACAAACGAACTATGAACACTATAGTATAATATAAACGGTCGATTTATACGAAATACCGTTGTTATTATTGTATATTACTGTATTTGTTATTTTTTTTTGTTCTAGTCAAAGTGCCACCGGTGTTGTGTGTTCAAGATTTATCATGTCCGTACAAAATGGATGAGCTATGCGAAGCCTATCATTTTATGATCACGTGCTGTTGCAATTCGCCTTGGCAGTAAGGTTATAAATCGAATCTCGAGAGTAGTATATAATAGTAATTATATTGTACCGTTACCCTATCTCGACACATTCCTGCGAATTAACCACCGTTACTTATTCATATGAAATAGCATAAAATATAAATTTGTCATTTTTTACTTTACTAATATAATATTAGTTAATAGGACGTGGATTAGATAATCAGTTGCAGTTAACAATTTGTTAACCTATGTTGGAAAATATAATAAAATGACTAGGTAATAACACAGTTTTATTTTTCTCCTTTAAACTGATTACTAATGTGTAATTAAACAATGTTGATTTATTCTTGTATTTCTTAACGTTCTATAATTATCCATATTTAATAGCGAACTATAGTTTGACTTACGTCACGCTTTAATATTCGAAAGTATTATAATTATTATTTATAACGTATCATTCGTTTGCGATAATAAGTAACAAAGCCAACTGGTAGTGGTAGTGGTGGTGGTGGCGTTAAATAAATAATTATAAAATTGTATTGTACAATTAAGAACGTATTGAAAAGAAAAAAATCTTATGATTAAAATAATATATTCATACACGAACCGTAATCATTAATCAATAATATTCAATTGTGATGTATTTATTACACTATAATATATTATAGTTTTTCATATTAGCAAAATTTCAATCAGAGATAGCAAGCTAGTTAAATAGTAACATGACTTCGATTGATTTTGTTTTTCAATACCTGATATTTTATTTTTTTGAATGTAATACAATTATTGTACAACATTTTTTTTATTTTTATTACCAAGTAAAAGGAAATAACTTCTTAGGACGAATGATGTTACAATTATTCAATAAATCAGTAGTTCTCAACTAAGGTGACATGAACCCAGCATAGAGGTGACACGAAATCTTTACGGGAAAAAGGAAAAAAATTAATTTGTTCGAATAAAATCATATAATTGCACCACTGTCATGTGACTAGCATCCCTCAAAGTTCGTATCTTTATACTATTAATTTAGGTCTGATTAACACGTGTAGTATTTTGACTTGGAAAAACGCTGGGTTATCGATTATTTTATCGACTTAAGGTGTGATTCCTCAGGACGAGACTGTAGACGTGTACTAAGGAATAAATACCTTTAACCAATCATTAGTCGGTTATTCTACAGTCGCTACGTAGTATTATAGCTCATTAATTATTAGTTTAAATAATTCTAAAATATACAGTAGGTATACTATTTATTATTTTGATATAAGGGCGACACGCAACGTTTGATTTTAGTGGCTAAAGGTGATATAAATTAAAAAAGGTTGAGAACCATTGCAATAAATGAACAGAACAATTGGAATTTGGGTGGGGGAAGGGAAAAATTAAAGTGTTGAATACCCACCTATGAAAACAAAAATTAGTCGGTCCACCTGAATAATATAAATTACGTAATATAATTGTATTGATGTATACTTATTGTTTTATCGATCAAATGCCCACCCACCTATTAAATGGAGAGAGTAAATGTCCACCCCTCATCCTTTAGATTTGCGTCTATAAATCGATAGGAATTCAAAATCAAATTTGATGTTCGGAACAATTGAAAATTGTATGAGATACGTTGCTTCAAAGTTATAACAACAAATTACGTTAAAGTTGAGTTGATTAAAAATAAAACCAACATGAGATTATAACGGTATACGAGTACAAACTGCAATCGCGTTGAATTTTTGGGAGTAATCGAATTGGTTCCCGTTTAAAAAAAGTATTTTATTAGGTATAGCCGAATTAGTTCCCGTTTATGTACAGGTAAAATAGTGACAATTTTAATTTTTAACACAGTTTTAAAAATTTTAAAATTTTTTACAATTTTAAAAGCTATATTATGACATATAAACACAATTATTATGTCGATAAGATAGTGTATAGAAATATAATAGACTATGGACTATTAGAGACTAGCAAATTACTAGCAAAAAGGAAGGAAATAACAAATACTTGGAAAATTGTATGACTAAGTACATTAATGAGAAAATTACAAGAATTGTATATTTAAAGAAAGTTAGTTTCAAATTTGCAAATCAATGGTTTTAAATTGTATTTATTATATTTTATTATTTGTATTTCGTACACCTAAGTGAGGAATAGTTGACTTCCAAATCAACGATTTAAAATTGTACATATTTTATCATTTTTTTTTTTTTTTTTTTAACGCACATTGTTAACCAAGCCTACTTTAAAGTTGACAGTCTGTAAAATTGAGAAGGAAAATGTGTGTAATTAAACGGGAACCAATTCGGCTATACCTAATAAAATAACTTTTTCAGACGGGAACCAATTCGGTACGTGGGGTTGGAGCTCTGGAACCAATTCGGCACTAGCAGAATTTTTAACTAAACTTTAACTCATATTTACTCGTTAATGCGCTTAGCTGTGTGCGTGTGTGTGTGTGTATGTGTGACGATCAACGATTCTGAGCACGTGGAGGCGTTGGGCTCGTGCGCGTATGGGGTTTTTATGCGCTGCAGTGTAGACGGACGAGAATAAAATAAATAGAAAAACATTATACGCCGTCGGTTGCGGTCTTTTTCAACGCCTTCACCGCGGCCGGTTGACGTCTAGGACGACCGTTTATTTTCCCGAGTAGAACGACGGTGGCTTCAGCGGCGGCGACAGCGACACCGGGAATTAGCATAAACACAAATGAGCGAAAAGCCGACACAAGACGAGCGACCTTCGTTGATTTACACTATAAACACACGCCGCCATCGCCGTAACCGTCCTACTTGTATACACGTCTCTGTCGTATATTATGTTATTATTATTATGCTCATGCAACCAAATATATATGTATACTATATGTAGACGCTATAGATACACACACACATATTATATGCATACAGGGTGATCCACGGAGATTTACCATTATTCGTGATATCTCTTCCGCGTTACAAAAAAAAAAAAAAAAAAAATAATAAATAAATATATATATTTTTTCCTTACTCACTTGATTGAATAGCATACGCGTTTGTTAATTGTATTACATGGATACAATTATTATTATTCCTGTGCTAATATTATCCGCTGATTTCTCCGTGATAATGTGTATTACTAACTTTACTTTGGTTAGTATATCGATTTCAGGTATAACAGTTTTATGACAGGCAAAAGCTGTATTATTATAACAGATGAATAACAGAAATCTAAAAGATTCGTTAAGAACTCAATTTTATTAATTTTATTTTATTTTAACAGTATAGTACAAAATATTAGTGTATAATATTGTTAATACCTATGTAGTGTTTTTTTTTCATAAAAGTCGACTACTTAACTATTTGATTTCATAACCTTATAGTTTTTTTTTTATTAAATTATAGCATTATTATCATAGTTTGTTAACAGACAAGAATTTCAAAAACCAAGTCACAGAATGCAGCCTGGTAAATCAATTAAAAAAAAAATAAATAAATTTTATTAAAAAAATAATAAAATAAAACGAGACATTTTGCAAAATGAATTAGTAAATGCTCGTGATGAGACACTCTGTACATAATACATGGATACTATACGACTACTAAGTTACGAGTATAGGTATTATCATTATTATTGTTGTTGTATTTATTGTGTACCTACGCGGTGTTTAAAATATTAAAAACAACAGATTTCGAGCTCGTGCCGTACTCATACAATACTACTCCGCACACACTCGAATGGTCACTATTCAATATTATTGTTATAATGGTAATGTCAAGTTTGAAAAGTTTGACGTCAGCGCCGTCACCTCCGCCTTGTGTGTACGGGCAATAATGATTTTATTTTAAGACAAAAATACGATGTCACGTACCTGGGGGCAATAGTGGTGTAAAGATGTAAAACTGCTACACACACAGCATTAAAACGAAAATACCACACACTAGTATCTTTTTTACCGTATGAATAACACTATTTTTTTTTCTCTTACATTGGTGATCGTCTCACGAGTTTTAAAGCAATACAACTGTGGTTTGTAGAAATAAAAAACTTATACGTCGATGGTGGGTGCCGTGTAGCAATTTCGAGGATGCTTTTCTACGGATGTAATGCAAAATAAAATACCATCCCGACAGATTTTTTGGGAAATAAATGAGATAAATGAGATAATAATGATTTTCGTGAATTCTCAGAATAATTGATCCGGTATATTTATCGTTGTTAATTTTTCGTTCTCGCAAGTAAAATAACTAACAATACCCCGTGCGCTCGGTTAAGTATATTTAAACATTCTTAAAATGATTTTTTGGTACACGTCGGCTTATAATATTCTCTAGTAAGGTGTAGTAATGGTCACTAGTAAACTAATCCTCTTATCCGAACTAAAATCCTGAACATAATGCACATTATACTGGCCTACTGATGGACTAGCTATATAGACTGGTAAAAGGCAAAAAAATCTTATCAACATTTTGGGGCTAAGGGTAGTGGCATATATTACAAACAACCAATGGCGTGACAGAGGGTAGGTCTAGTAGGCATGGGCTTACACTGTTTTCAAATAGTTAATATTAATATTTTTTACATCGTTATTATTTACTTTTTAACATATTTAAATGTCATTAACAAGTCAAATAGAAGGAATTGTATTATATTAAATAATCATTTTTTTCTAATTAAATTTAAAAATGTTATGGAAGGTTTACGAAAAAAAAAAATATGTACATTTATAAATTAAAATAATTATAACTGGGCCTGTTCTGTATTTTGATCCTAAGCAAGCCTCTGCAAACAACCAACAGTTAAATCATTCGATCGCACAAACTCTAGTGTTTCTCTGACCATTTAGTAATGAGTAGGGCTAGGATAGAATAGGATTTTTGCATTTTTTTTTTTAGGATTTACAGGACATAGCTTTTTAAGTACAAAATGTGATTTGGTCATATATGAGTCCAAATATATAATTTTTATTTTGATCTTTTTCGCATTTTTTGTACTTTTATGGATTTAGGGTCATTTTGTAGCATTTTTAGGTAATATTTTTATACATTTTCATTTACACTAGATGTTCTCGATAAAAGTTTTGAATTTGTAACAGAAATAATATCATATTCAATATTTCATTATATATAATTGAAATATTGAATATGATATTATCTCTATAGAGATAATGTGTTAATACTCGGTATCGATAATAAAACCACTTATATATTACAACTTAAAACTTCGATACCATGAGTTATCTTAATAGTTAAATTAGATGACAGTGGTGTGGAGTGTACCTACTTATGGTTTTGTTAAATACCTATTTA